TATCTTGGGCCCCTTTCCCTTCAAGTACCCATATATTGGGAGAAAAACATTATATCTGTGTATTGGGGTTTTTTAAAGTCATGTAATTAATTGCCATAACATTCATCTTCCAAAATTAGATCTGTGTTGCAGTTAGAAAATAGGGTCATAGTGTCAGTTACAAAGTTATGATATGCACTACTTGTGACCCAGAATGTAGGTTGAGGATTCTTGGAAATGAACAGTAGATACTTTAACAAATGCTTTATAAACTACTTTAAATCCAAGGGGGGGGTGGGGGGAGGGAAGAGCAGTAGTTCCACGCCATACATCATAGCAATGCTCCGTGTCTCTTATTTTTCATTTCATTTTCTGTCTGTAACTAAGTTCTGGTGATTTAAAGCTGACCTCTGGATTAATTTTTCACTTCCTGATTTCTTAGTTTCTTCAGTTCAGATGTAAGAGTAGTAAATAGTGGAGCAGTTACATCTTCTCAAATTTAGAACTTGAAAGCTCAAAAAAGATTAATGTTTTCAGGTACCTGAACTAGTCATCAGTATTGTATTCCATAGTTTGGTGTTAGTGGCTACAGTGTATGTCCTATGGATGTACCATCTATTTTATTTTTTAAAAAGTCACGTTTCAATGTAGATGTTGAGGATTACCCTGGAAACGATTGAATGAAGTTCTTTAATAAATAATATTCAAGACAATGGATTATACTATTCCTTCATTTGAGTCTGAGAGTCTGCCTGACTTGGCAAGTGCATAGTAAGAATGTCTTATTTGAAAAGGAAATGAAAGGCCCAGACCTTTTTTCTTTCCATGCTTTTAAGGGTGGATGCAGTCTGGATTCAAGGGGTTTTTTGAGTCTGGTTAAAAGAAGAGGAGAACCACATGAGTTATAATTTTGAATATTGATTCAGACGTGTTCTTATTCTGAAGTATTGTATCAATGTGAAAGTGAATATACATAGTTCTGGAATTCCACTGTTGATTAGTCCAATACAAATAGTATTTTATATGGATTTAATGTTTATTAAATTATATATTGTGAATATAAATAGAAAAAATAGCTGGAAGTTCTCTATGTTAAGTATATATCTGAAGGACTTTTTTTGTATCTATCCCTTGTTTCAGGAATGTTAACAATTACAGATTTCATTAACATACTGCATAGATACTATAAGTCTCCAATGGTAAGTATGATGTTAATCTACATTTTTATCATTTCCCATGCAGTAGAGACTGAAGGATTGATGATGATCATTTGGAACTTGGATATGTCACGGGTATACTCATTGCAGGGATTCTTTTGAAATAAAAGACAACTTTGTGAGCAAGGCAGCAGAACAGTGTCTGGATACCCGGGTTCAAGTCCCAGGTTTAGGTAGGGAAGGTCCTGTGAGGTTGGGCAAGTAACATAATCTGTTTCAGTTATACATGTATGAACATGAGGAATTTCCTCAGTGAGTCCTACCATTTGTTGTGTTTTGTGTGGTGCTTACCATAATGGTAGCCTTCGTTTTGGATACAAGGCTCCACTTAGTGTTGCAACTAATGAATAATGCATTTGAGATGAAGGACCTGGCTTATCATACTTACTTTTTGTATCACATCTAGTTTTTACTATGAAGGAAAACACTTGATTATCAATCACTGTATTTGTGTTCAGGTTGTTTCAAAGCATGTATTTCAGTACTAATTATATTACATTTTATATAAATATCAACCAAACAGCATTTGTGGAGGATGTCTTTAAGTTCTATTAAAAAGTTCATTGTAATAAAAAATCAAGTGTGTAGCTTTGCATGGTTCACGTGTTTACGTAATGAACTTTGTCTTGATAGAAGTATTCCAGAAGGAGTGTGCAGAGTTAAGCAGAATGCTAGCTTACAGGGGCTTGGATGCATTAAAAGGTTACTCTGCTCTTGGAGTGATGGTGTAGAATAAACAAGTTGAACTAGTTAAATATATGCAAATATTTAGTTACATGACTGAGTTGCACAATCAGTTGGAGATCTGTTGGCTTCAATTAACTGTAATTTAAAATTCCCATTGGCGGTCAGTTGATGAAATTCTCTAGCTTGCATGTTCGTGCAAACATTTCCATCCCTTTCTTGTTTGTGTGAAATCACAGTTCCCCCTCTACCAATTAAAACCTACATACTATGTTTTAGTAGCTAAAAAATCAAGAGCAGTTGGATGAAGCAGGCATCTGATGTATTGGGCTTCTCAAAGCTCATGTTTAATTTTTAAAATGTATAGTGCAATTCTTGTCAGATGCCAGTAGTGTGGTGCACTGGCCTTTCTTCTCGTTAAAGGATTATTTTTTTCCCCTGAGGATTTACAAGGGATGAGGGGAGAAGCAAAGGAAAAGTAGTTGCACACTGGTAACTTCCTTAAAATGGTTTCCATATTGTAATGACCCTCAAGCTCAATACTGCCTATTTTTCCACGTCACTTTACTTAAAGTCTGACTGTTGTCACTCCTGTTTACACAGTCTAACATCCTATTCCATAGGTTGTGCTTAAAATGGCAGCAGTGAGGAGGAGTAGCTGAGGAGTGACAACATCTGACTTAAGTGATTGATGCAGTCTTCTATTAAAAAAAATAAAAAGTTCCATCAGGGAATGCTCTAGTCTTAATAGGTAGAATTATGCTGAAAATATAATTATTTTATTCTTTCTAAATGCATCCCAACACATACAGTGTGAGGCATGTTGCTATTTGTGTACTAGATAATATCTTTAAATGATTGATGAGGAACATCCAGGTAGTTTCTCCCTATAGTGTGGTCCAAGAACTAGGTTTAGCCTCATCTCAGCAGCAGCTAAAGCAGTCTCCTGTTCTTCTGATCACTTCAGTAGATCTCCTGAACTGCTTTCCACCGTCTTAACTGCTTTTTTTGACAAGTGCTCTAAAACATTAACTTATGTAGGTTATCTTTTACATCAGCCAAAAATGGTATGCTTGAGTAGTCGAATTATAGTATATCAATTTAACATTCCCTTGGACTCTTCACAGGATGCTAATTCCAGAGAGTAATCTAAGTGTAGTCTCATTTAGCCCAGAGATAATTGTAGTAGGCTTTGTGGAGACTTCTACCCTTCACCTGTAAACTCTTCAGCTTCATCAGTGTTTGCAGAGGTACCTGACAGGCACCCTTGGCCTAGGCTGTCCCCAGTGCAGTTACTATTGGCTGGCTTGCAGCTTGATGCCTTCAGAGAAACACAGCTCTCACATCTCAGACGTTTTTAGAGAACCATCAGCAAGATGAAAGGAGCTGCTGGAGGGAGGTTATACAGTCTTTTGACAAATGAGTTTGTGAAATAGCTGCTAAACAGCAGGAAGTTGCTGATGTTGGTGTCTTTTGGTGGTGGTGGTTTTGTTTTGTTTTGTTGGGTTTTTAAAAAAAAACCCCAAACTTCAAAGACTGGACCCTTGAGGGTGGTTTGATGTAACTGCTGAACTGATCTGATGATAAGCCGCCATCAAAAGGTGCAGCCTTGCCACATCCTTTGTCCAGTATCATTTGCCCGGACAGTTAAGGAAGCTAAACCATCAGAACAATGTTTTTGTAACTTTTTTTGCCTGTTTGGTTCCTGGGAGTTGCTGAACACAGGTCAGATAAGCAACATTACTGGGGCAGGAGAAGTGCTGAGAGCATGCATGGCTTCGATGCAGTGTCCAAAAACATTTGAAGAATATAACATCGGTAAAAGATTAAACTTTGGGGGGGGACACAATGTTGGTTCTTCTCATTGACCTGAGCACTAAACCAAGTGCTCTTGCTTATTTGTAATCAAGTAACAGTAAAATTCATGTCTCTTGGCATTAAGAAGTCAAGTGATCAGGGTAGGTTTTTTACTGGTTTGGGTGTGTGAGGAATCATCAGAGGGTTTACTCTGGCATGGTTGTTTTAAGGGGAGATAAATTACTGAGGAGATGCCTTTGAATTTAAAGGAGATGTAGACTACAAACCTAGGCAGGTGAAAGATCTTTCCTGTCCCCTGAAATGATAGGTCCAGTCTGGTACTCTGCATTGAGCAGGATTGCACCCTTTCCTCTTGTTGTTGCCAAGAAATGTTATTCTGGACCGTTCTTACTCTGTTAGCCTGCCTGCAAGGAAACCTAAGGAAACTGTTTGGATTTTTATAATATTGTTAATGATTTTGGGTTTAAATTGACTACGTCACGCTAAACTTCCCATCTGCCTATTGTAGGTTCAGATTTATGAATTGGAGGAGCACAAGATAGAAACCTGGAGGGGTAAGCAAATTTACTGCTTGGTTGATAATGTCAAATGTTCTAATGTTTTTCAGTATAGTGAATTTTTAATGAATCCTAGACTTAGCTTGCATCACTCCATGTACTTTTTAATGAAAGCAGGAACAGTAAAAGCTCGTCTGTTGCCTCCTGCTGCTGTGCTGTTTCCTACCTGAAACAGTACATGGACTAGAGTGATCTGGGCTATCTACCACTTCGCTACTTGTTTATGGTTAGTACCACCTCACTATTTAAGAAAGAAAAAAAGAAACTGGAGCAAGGCAGCATGTGTGGCTGCAGAGTTGGTGAGTGTATGTGGAACGGAAATGTATCTGAGCCAGGATGCAGAACCAGTATATGACCCTATGTATTGAGTGAACTGATGGGTGAGCCACAAGCTACGCCTGAGTGAATCCCATGGTGCGACTAGAAATTCATAGAACTGGCTGGGTGTGAGCAGAAGTGCTGAGTGCAGGGAGGAAACTTAATGTCAAAAATAAACTCCAAGCCATGAACTAATATATAGAAGTACCCTATGTACCAGACCATCTCAAGAAAGGAGCTGGTGAAGTTATTTGCTGTTGTTGCAGTGACCTCTGCTGGTAATCAGTTTAGTCTTGCTTTTAAAACTCATTCTTTTAATGTTAATATAGAGGAATGTGCATAAGTGGTAGAATATCTGAAGTAACTATATATATATATATATATATATTTCTTACACTTAATTTTGTATGGATGAATTCATAAAATGCTTTTATAAAAAAGAAAGCTAATGTTTTCATATAAAGTGGTAACGGTCTATTACTTTTTCTATACACAGAGCTTTATTTACAAGAAACATTTAAACCTTTAGTGAACATCTCCCCAGATGCAAGGTAGGATTTTGCTTTTCAGTCTGCTTAGCTTGAAATAAACTAACTCCATTTCAACACTGAATTTAAGACTTCTTTACAGAATAAGAAACAATTTATCTTGTAAACTAAGAGTACAATAACAAAGGACTGTCTTTTAATATAATCAAGAAGGTGTGAGAGCTCTTTATTGCAAGTGAGGACTCTAATTATGCAAAGAAGAGAATTTTTAGTTTAACTTTTGTCGTTTATCAGTGTAACTGTTCTGGTAAGTAAACTAGACATGAATCAAAATTAACTGCCAAAAAGTTTGCAGAAAAGGCAAAATGATGACCCTTCAAGGTAGCCTGCAAATTATGTTTGTTTCATGAAAATCAAAAACTCTGCAGAGCCTTTCAGCTGTCTTGTTCTCAGCAATCATAGTAATTGAAAACTTACAGTACTTTCCAGTGCAAGTAATTTACCTTAACTAAAGGAAGGACAGTATCTGTATGTTTTGTTCTGCTCTACTACTAGGTTGTGTTCCTTAAAATATAAACAACTGTCCTTTTCTTCTCGATGGAATTTGAAATAAACAGTTTTTAAACTGCCATTATACCTTATTTACCAAAGGTAACTCGAGAGAGAGTTTTAGTTGATCACTTAACAACTTGAGTGCTACTTAATCACTGAACCAGAGAGTGAAGTTCTGGTTCTTGCTTTGTTTATGGAGTAGGATTACTTATGCCCTCCTGAAGGAAACTGGTGAAGGGAACTCTAGTGATTAACTCAAAGTAGTGATATGCTGTACCCTCAATAGAATTCCCACTAAGTCATGAATAAATCATTCAATTAAGTCATAAGGAATGTGTTTTGAATGGTAACTGGTTGCAAAGAATATCATTAGGACAACAAACTAGTATAATTGCTTTCAGTCACAGGTGCAGCAAGAGAAGTATTGCAATAAAGAAGATGCAGTAGGACACGTATAAAAGGATACAGAAAGTCAACTTAAGATCTGATCCAGAAATGGACTTTGTTCTGCAGCACTTAGGAGTAGTTAAATGCTTACTGCAGGAGTGGAATCTGCAGTGCAGTGATGGGAATCTTGGCTCCATGTATATCAAATGGGGATAGTTCATCCCTCTAATGGACTCAAAACACCGTTTATTGCATATGGGAAGAAGCAAGTAGGCCTTTATCAGAGTTTTACTGCCTTTATTACTCACTAATTCATTGCAGTTGGTGGCCAGCTGTTTTATTAGTCTTACTAGGACCAAAGGGGGGAAAAAAAAGTGTAACTTGCAAGAAGAGACTTGAATAGGTTGGAGTATTGCTAAATTGTAGTCTGCAGGGTCTGTGGGAATGTTTCAGATCTTGAGAATCACTTTTTGCCAATCCCCAATGGTAATTCAGTGAAATGATTAGATTATTGTTTTGGCTTAATTGCATATATGTACTTATCCACAAAAATGCTTTTTCTAGAAAATGTTATAGAAGTTTGGGATTGAGATGCACTAAGGGCCAGAACACCCTGGTTTTCACTGTTTGTCTCTGAACAGAAATATCCATTCTGAGTCAGGTATACTGTGAGCTCAGCACTCGCTGGAAAAACAATTTACACTTGTGCACAAGTATTTCTGTTATTCTTTCAACCACAAAAAGTCACTTTCCAGCTTATTTTCTTACTAGTTTTAGATGTTCATGAGCATATCATTGTTGATCTGCTTACCAGCTGCAAAAGTTAATTTGAAATCCCTTAACTTCTATTTTCTGTAACATTAAAGATAATACAAATCACTGCTCATGATATGTATTTCGTGGGGGTTTGTAAATATGTGTACGTATCACTTGATGTTACTCACTGTCAGCTAGAATTAATTTTAAAAAAAATGTTTTTCTCCTCAGCCTTTTTGATGCTGTATATTCCTTGATCAAAAACAAAATCCACAGATTGCCAGTTATAGATCCCGTCAGTGGAAATGCACTTTATATACTTACCCATAAAAGAATCCTCAAGTTCCTCCAGCTTTTTGTAAGTAAAGTTACAGTTTGCTTACTGATTTCCCCCCTCCCCCCCCCCGACTACTTTAAGCGATTTAAGTCTTAGTACAGAAACTTCTTGATAAAAGTCCATATTCATTGTGTCTACACACATCTTTTTGTGATAACAGGAAAAATTAAAGCTTGATGCAGGACCTGTACATTGCCTTTACTTTGTTTTAGTTGTTTAAGGAAACCTAAACACCAAGGACTTGCCTTGGCTGTTTGAGTTGTTTGCTGTCCTTTCTGGAAGATTTGCTCAGCTTCAGAAGCTTGTTTACCTGAATAGAGAAATGGATTGTCTCCCAGAGGTGACATTGTCATTGCTCACTGTAGCTTATGTTAGTTACAGGAATGAACAGCAGGCCAAACAAAGCAACAAGAGTTCAAAATAAGCATTCAGCACCTAGTATGTTTTGCTGTCTTCTCTCCAGTTTCAGTGGGAATGACATAGTTCAGGATCAAAATGATGATCTGAGGGCTGGAGCACCTCTGCTGTGAGGACAGGCTGAAGGAGTTGGGGCTGTTCAGCCTGGAGAAGAGAAGGCTCTGGGGAGATCTTATAGCGGCCTCCCAGTACTTGAAGGGGTAGGGGTAGCTTTCTTTCCTACAAGAAAGCTGGGGAAAGACTTTTCGTAAGGGCAGTTAATGACAGAACAAGGGGAAATGTGTTTAAGCTGAAAGAGGGGAGGTTTAGATGAGATATTAGGAAGAAGTTCTTCACTGTGAGGGTGGTCAGACACTGGAACAGGTTGCCCAGAGAGGCTGTGGATGCCCCCTCCCTGGAAGTGTTCAAGGCCAGGTTGGATGAGGCTTTGAGCAACCTGGTCTAGTGGAAGGTGTCCCTGCTGATGGCAGGGGGGTTGGAACTGGATGATCTTTAAGGGCCCTTCCAACCCAAACCATTCTATGATTCTATGAAAAGCTTATTGTGATGGGTTACTGCAAAAATAAATAAATGAGTAAAAAACTTAGTTATACGGTCTTCATTTAGAGTTTCTTTGAACGGAAGAAACGCTCCTAGATCTGAGCTGGTTTTGGCTTTACATTAATTTAGGAGCAGATTATTGTAATGGTCTGTGACAGTCATTTGGAGTCTGTAGATGGATGAGTGATTACAGATTTCCTAATGTATATACTAATCGTATGGAAACATGGTGGGTGCAGAAAACCACACTGTCAGTACATTCATTCTGACTTTCCTAGATGTCAGAGATGCCAAAGCCTGCCTTTATGAAGAAGAATCTGGATGAACTTGGAATAGGAACTTACCACAACATTGCCTTCATACATCCAGACACTCCTATCATTAAAGCCTTGAATATATTTGTAGAGAGAAGGATATCGGCATTACCTGTTGTGGATGAGTCAGGTGTGTTGGGTCTTCTGTATACAAGTGTGGTAACGTAACTGGTGCTGAACCCCGGATTGATGGGGTTGGGGGAGGCAAGGAAGAGTGAAAAAATACAAAAATATTTAAAAAAACAAAAACCAAACGAACAATCAAAACACCAAAAAAACAGAACTTCATGGTTTGGTAGGTTGGTTGAGTTTTTTTCATCTTTTTTGACCTGTCTGGTTTTTTTTCTATGTAATTATAAAATAACAACAACAAAAAAGGGGGGGAGTAAGAAAATTAATTTTTTTATTTTAAGCACTTCATTAACTTTTGTTTTTCTTTTTAGGAAAAGTTGTAGATATTTATTCCAAATTTGATGTAATAGTAAGTATATCTCTGTTCTGTTAAATATTTTATATGCAGTAAGCATTTGCAAATTAATTTGTTAATATGTCAGTTTTGGCTATTTTGTTCCTTAGGCTTTAGTTAACAAACTAAGTAAGACAGACTCAATTCACCCTGCACAGCATTTTTTATTATTATTATTTTTTGTTTAAGCTATCTTTAGTAATACTGCTTGCACACAGGCATCTACTGCTCTGGATGTTACCCAAAATCAGATCTGGCTGTACTTGTACAACAAGAAGGCATGGGCTTTTTACGTTTGTTTCTATTTTTGAGGTAGGATTTTCTTTTCCCAGCGGCTGCGGTCCCACGGTCTGTTTTTGATTCAGAGAACACAGATTTCTCCACGTGGTCTGCGTACTTTGTGTGACTCGAGCTTCTCAGTGAATTCAAACTACTTGGCCCGTTCTCTTGTGCAAGTCTCTGACTCCAGAGTATTGCATCTGTGTTCCTTCTGGTTTAGATTTCTGTTTTTCTTTCTGGTTTGCCCTCAGGAGTGCAACAGCGTAGTCAGATTCATGCTGTGATTTGCCACCCTGTAAGAGCAAGGACTTTCTATTCTTGTGGTCTTCTGAAACTTGAAAAATATATTTAGGTTTTCCTACCCCTATCCCTTCCCAGCTGTATGCACCTGCCTTCTAATTGGAGCTTCTGATAGCTACATTATTTTTTAGAGATTTAAGTGCCCAAGTTGCTTATCCACTGGCCTGCTAGTGCTGATGAAGAATCCAGATGTCTGAAACACTGTGGAATGCGTTCAGAAATATGGAGAATAGACCCAAATGGAAATACTCTAAGCTTATAAATTTCTCTGGCTGCGAACAGCACTCTTAATACTGAAAATTTTGTGATGTCACTGTTCTTTCTGGGCGCTTGTCTTTTTGTTCTTTGGGATTGTCTACTGTGTAAGATCCTGTTCTGCCATAAAGCTGGTCAGGGAACAGGTAGTAGCTCTAGTGAGAGTGATCTAACACACCAGGAACAGTGAAACTTCACAGTTGGTGGGTTGCTTCCGTGTTTCAATTTATTTTCTAACTATTAGATTTTGAGGCAGGACATATTTCCTTTATTTCCCATTGTTTTTTCAGAAAGACACCAAAAGGAAGAGAGTTCCTTATGTTTTTCACTTTTCTCATTTGAAGTGATGGGGCAACAGAAGTTACGGGATTTTTAGAGATGCTGGATCATTTATTTGGAAAAAATACATATTGAGCTCAGGGGAAAAAAAACCCAAAACAAAACACCACAAAGGCTTTAGGATATAATTGTTTGCTCCCAGCTAGTAACGTGGGAAAAAGTTAGGGCATCTATTGATTATCTGCATTAGTTTGCTTATTAAACACGGGGGGGAGGGAAGATTCTGTCCTTGAAAGGTAATCACCTCTGAGTCTTCCAGTTTTTCATCAACCTGCTTCAAGCTTTAAAAGAAGAAAAAAAAATACGAAATGTGTAATCTGATTTTCTAATAAACATAGAATTTGCAAGATCCAGCTGGTGATTTTTAACTTTAAACCAAGTGGCTAATATGCTTAGTTAAATCGGTGTTTTAAGCTATGCCTGTATATACAGGTGATAATTTCATTCATTTTTAATTGAGTTCTAAATTCATTTTCAGGTTTTTGATGGGAACCTGGGATGGTGTGATGGTATAGAAATAGCTTTATATTACACTAGTTACTGTGCACAGGGTGACTTCAGTTTGCAGAGGCTTTTTATGTTCTCCTGATGTCCTTCATTAGGAATTATTTAAACGAGTTAGCTAAAACTGCTTGTATCTTCATGATCATCTCAAAACTATCTTGTCACATTCAGCGTAATTCAGTCAAAAAACTTGACCAATCATAGCATATTCTAGCCAAAAATTAAATTCATTCTATTGCTTAGTTCAGTGTTTTCATTTTTAAAGGTCTTTGTTCTCTTTCAGTGCTTCAGTACATAAAATCAATAGGCCAGGATGTGCCAACGGTGTCAAAGTAACACTGTGGTCTCACCTACTAAGAAAGTTTTTGCTGGGCTGGACAAAGTCCTCTTGCTACAAGCATGGTCCTGTTCTTAACATGGAAGTTGAGAATGTCAGCTTTCAAACTCTTTTAATCTTACTTTTAGTGGTGGTGATGAGTTTTCATTTATATTATTTTTATAGTACTTATTAAAATACATATACACACACACACACACAAATTGTCAAATGGCAGTGCCAGCACAGTCCAGGAGAGGGAGTTTGAGCCCACAAATAAGAAAGGTGAAGAAAAGCTTTAGTTTGCTCTCAACTTGAATCTCCACGAAGATCTACTTCATGGGTGATGTTCAGAGCAGTTGGTGTCCTTCCCTATCCTATGAATAAGAACATACAATTTGTGTTGTTTATTTAAGTATAGTCTGTATATTCTAAAATCTGTAGAACTTCATCTTTTCATTTCCTACTTGAGGCAAAAGCAGGATGAGTGACATCAAGCCAAATATCAGATACCAAAGGAAGGAGAGTTCATTGACCTAATGCATATCACAAAACAGTTTTATCAATTAACCCAGTCTGTCATACGGTGTTTAACATAATTGCATGTTTGGCTGTTCCCAGAAACTGAAGCTGAAGAACATCTGCTTCATTTAATATGGGACTTGGAATACACTGAGTTTTTACCAGAAATGGTGTATCTACTCGATGCCAAAATATTTACTTTATTGAGTACTTTATTACTAATTACTGAGATGTGTTAAGTGCCTTGGTTTTTTATTTTGTTTCATTGTTTTTCAGAATCTTGCTGCTGAAAAAACATATAATAACCTAGATATCACGGTGACGCAAGCCCTACAGCACCGTTCTCAGTATTTCGAAGGTGTTGTAAAGTGTAGTATGCTGGAAACACTGGAGACCATTGTGGATAGAATAGTGAAGGCTGAGGTGAGTTTGCTTTTTATTTCTCCCTTCACTACAAGCTAAAAGTTGTATTGCCAACTAATAAATAGTACAAACATATTACAATAATAAATAAATAGTACAACAATAATAAATAGTACAAACATATAACCAAAGTTATTTTGGCCACTTGGTGGAAGTTATTTATTTCATAACTCTGTGTTAGGTATCAGATTGCTTTATAGGCTCAGCTTATAGATGCTTATAGGGATGTGCAAAATCCTGGACAGTACATCTGTAATAATACTCAGTTATTTATGTTTCTGTTTTATGACATTAGCTGAACTGAATGCAAAACTTTTTTTGAAAGAATTGAGTTTCTTCCAAGCCTGCCATAAGTTTTGCAGACAAATATTTCTTTAAACTCCAGCTTATAGCTAGGTTGATCGGCCTATTGCTCAGGAAATTTAATAGGTACAATTAGGTAATGCAGACGGAGTCCTGCACTGCTGTCATACAAATCCTGTGAAAAAGGGACAGAAAATAATGGTTGTGAAGAAGCCTTCACTAACTCCTCATGTAAATGGTTTATCTGTGTGCTTTCCATTTTTTGGTGCTATGTATCTTGTTTGTTAGTATTGGGAACTTTCTTATACATGGAGGTGAATGAGTACGTAGGTCTTCCTTCCCTGCCTCCTTCTGCAGAGGAAAATCAGTATTACCAGTTTTGGTTGTCTTGAGAGATGTGATTAACTCCATTTAGATGCTTTAACTTCTTTGATTACAAGACTTTTTTTTTCCATCTTAGGGCTGTGACTATACATATATTTGATACGAGTAAAACTTCCACTTTGTTAATATCCCCTTTGAATCTTCATTAGGCAATTTTTACTTGTAACTTTCTGCATCTACTTGAGCTTCTTCCTAAAACTGAGTAATTTTAGCATTGCTGATGCACAGATTTCAAATTTGTGTAATTTTATTACTATCTTAAGAGGCATTAGACATTTGGGTTTTAAGAACAACTCTGACCCTTTGGTTCAGTCTAAACATAGTGAGATTATATGTAAAAATGAGTCAGTCAAAACGGCAAGCTATTTTTAGCTGCCAGACGAGTGCTTGATCTTACTGGAAATGAAACAAATTAAGCAATTACATTGTCCATTTTTCTTGAATTCATTACACTGAGAGAAGAATAAAACGATTAAATATGTGCATATACAAAACCTAATAACCCTGTCTAAAGTATCACCAACATAGCTTCATCAAAAAGAAAATGCCACAATATTTTCTCTCCCTTCCCCCCTCTTTTTCCTTCCTCCCTGTGTCAGGTGGATGTGACTGTTCAGATAATTCAAGAGCTCCTCTTTTCTTGTATCTGACTAGCAATGAAGAGGTTGACCTCAACCTTAAATTAATGTATCTATTAAATCAGGGCTGATGCAGCTTTCTTGATGTCACCACTTCTGTGAGAAGATGAGAAAAAGGCTTTTCACTTTCTTCACCATTATATCTGATCATTTGGACTTAAAATAGTGAAGAGACAGAATTCACTTAGGTATAAAGTAAACACGTGGTAGGCTCTCAACTTGTGGCAAATACCCTTTTGGGGATTGCTTACCTGTGAGCTGGTTCAGCTGCCACGTTTGGGTGATACAATTCTGCCTGCTTGCAGTGGGCTCCGCTGCCAGGACTGACGCTGGGGCACTTTCCGGGCTCTGCAGCGGCCTTTCACTGCTGTAACCTGCTCTAGCCAACGAGTCTCAGGATACAAGAGCATCCACCTACTTTCCCCACACATAGGACAAAAGTTTTGTAGTATAAAATGGTTCCTAGGATAGATCTGGAACAAAAAAAATCATTATTTAAAAATACAGTCTGACCGTTGATAAATCTTTCTTCCAGGTTGTGTCCCTGTGTTTATTATCTCTACAGTGAGTTTGAATAGATAAGTTGGATCTCTTTTTTTTGTGTTTTTTTCCTGTCTTCATGCAAATTGAGGATTTAAAAACCAATCTGGCGCTTAGTTTCAGTTGTGTATCCTTACAAGAAAAATGAGGTTAAAAAATCAACTTGGACATGTAAAGATACAAGAAGTTTTAGTGCTGTGCCTCTCTGCCTCTCTGTGGGAAAGCATTTTTCAGAAGGAGGCCTCATTTTATTACTGTATATATTTTTTTATATTATTTTTTTGAGATCATAGGCTGAGTGGGGTGGTGCCTGTAAGTTGGGAAAAAGTGTTTGATACGAGTGCCACTTTTTGAGAGCAGAAGTATTTGAAAGATCTGGATCTTGGCTTAGCTGTCATTTCAAGTCTGATTTTGTTGCCGTGTCAGATAGCTGTGTGCTTTTTAAACGTGCACTAGTTTTCATTTTTGTAGGGTTAGCAGGTTTGATTGCTGCGTGAGACTGGTATCGCTAAAGTTTTCAACCATTCTTTTTTTTTTTTCTCCTTATTTATCTTCATACTTCATTACTTCAAGATTTCTTGTGTTTTTCTTTCCTTTAGCTATTACTTTAAATCAGATAAATACCTCCAGATATTTTCCCTGCTTGCAGGTTCATCGTTTGGTGGTAGTGAATGAAGCAGATAGCATCGTGGGTATCATCTCCCTTTCTGACATTCTACAGGCTTTGGTACTCACACCAGCAGGTATGGAAGTTGCCTTCTGAGCTTTGCCATAAGTAATTTGGTAGTGTGTACGCTCTACTGGTTTTAATTTGACAATGACAGACTTCTGATTTTCAGCTTTTGTAACTGCTTAATCATAGTTCTTAAAGACACTTTTAATTTCTCTTCAGGAAAAAGCTGACAAAATATTAGCTGTCAGTCTCTTGTTCACTGAGGAATGCACGCATTCACGAATGTAATTGTTGTCCATCCATCATCTTTATAGAAAAAAGATCTTGATTAATCCTTTAACAGGAAAAAGAGGATTAAATTCAATGTTGCATGTATAGACAACATCTACCCACCTTCCTGAATTTCTCTACTCTGGCCAAGTGCTCCTAGTGTGGACACAGCTGTGCTTTCCACTAGCTCTGCAAAACCACCTCCTCAGAGCCCTGCAGTCGTCCAGCTGTGCTCTGGGGTTTGCTTGGCGCAGCTATGTCAGAGATGTCACCCGAGGCCACCAGGATTATTCCAGTAGAAATCTCTAGTGTATTGCTAAATATGATCAGGTTCCTTTTAACAAGAGTATTCAACAATAGGTTTATTTCTACTGCTTTTATGTTGGTGCAGGCTGGGGCAGGGGGGTGGTTTTGGTGTGGTTTTTTTAAGTTCTGCCCAAGTTACTAACCTGCTTTATGTTCTTCATTGTAACATTGACCACATAAATTACTCCAGTGTCACAACAACTAAAGCAAAGCCCATGTGAGGAGGACAAAAAATGTTTTGAGGATTCCGGTTTTACCTCAAAAAAAAAAAAGAAAAAAAATCAGACTAAGTAAACAGAGCTGGATATGTCCTTCAAAAAAAAGTCTGAGTGTGAGCTTAACTGGTATCTCTGACTTGCACTGATAGATAGCAAGATAATGTAAAAGTCTTTTTACAGTATAGATTTTAAAAAAGTTAATGTAGCTTTTTAAAATAGTAAGGTTTCTCCTCTGAAAAAAAGTAATTGGTGATACTGCTGGAAGTTAGTTCCTTTTAATGACCTGGAAGAGCAAGTAACCTAGCTTTCTGTGAAAGGTTCGGATGATCATGAGAAATGAGGCCTGAGAAATGAGCTCATTGCCCAGAAAGAGAATGGAGGGGTGTACGTCTCTCCTAAAAGGGAGACGTAAAGACAGGCAGATGGTGCCTCTCCAGACAGAGGAGGTAGTTTCCCCCATGACTGGAGGGCAGAAATGTCCAAGGAGTGTAGCTCTTACTATTAATGAAGTAAAGTTTAGGCAGAAAAGATGAATCTGAATGCTGCCAAACCAAGAGCTTTGTTACACTGGGATTACGTGGACACTGAAGTCGCGACTCTGTGAGCTGATGGAACAGCGCTCTGTAATTAAACAGAGCAGTTCCTGCTCCCATACTCTGGGCCGTGTGCTTCTGGCTTTTAGCGTGTGGCAGCACTCGCGAGATCCCTCTGTGAGCTGCTTTAACTCATTGATCTAGCAGGAAACTGAGCCAGCAAAAAAGCTGCAGAGTTTTGTCAGTTTGGCACGCTCAGCTGGCTCACAGAAGAGTCTAGTACCGAGTGCAGGAGTAACAGTGGGGGCAGGATTGTGCCACTGGAAGAGATGAGGTGAGGGAAGGCATTTTTTAGGAGCAGTTAGGTGTGGGATTGCAGTTCCACAGGCAACTGCCCGATTTTAGATTGTGATTTATTTCATGAAGTGAGGATGTCTGCAATGTAGCTCTAGTTTGTAGAGTCCAGAGTGTGATTTACCTCTTGAAGTGAGTGCGTAAGAAGAACCAGATACATCACGCCCTGAAAGTGTCCCCTTCTCTTCACAGACTAGAAAGGCAAATTTATTGGCTGGCAGGAATTAGGACCAGCCTACGTTAGGGGGAAAAGAAGTATCTGTTGTGATGAGAAAACTGGATGTGTTTAATGAATTTCTCAGTGTTTGATTATCCATTACAAGTAGTAACTCCAGGTTGCTGGCAAGAGATTCTTGCTGTCTAGAGTTGGATGCTGAAGCCAAACTCGCCATAGGATTCAGTCGTTGCCCAGCATGTGGGTAGTTTGAGCACTTGGAGAAGAGGTGAGATGCTCTA